GTGCGTTGACAAACAGTGCTGGTACATCCCCCGTCCACCAACACCAATATTCTTGATAATTTCGCAGATACAAACAACTTTGACGTGGCCTTAGCAATTCCAGCGGCCGTTTTTGCAATGGCACAGTAGGGAACTTTATCATATCCGAGATTGGACACAGCTTTGGCACTTATTTTTGGATTCTGGGGAGATCGTATATTAGGAGTATTGTGGAACCCACAAGTCTTAGTTCTTCAAACTCTTTTTCAGGAGGAAGACACTTAGCACTTTTGATTATTGACTCTCGACTGCTTCGGTCTGATCTCCCTCCTCCTCAGATTTCACCAAATGCAGTCTAATTATAGTGATGAACTGGTGTGTGATGCCGCGTTTTTAGCACAAAAGGCATGTTATGCGCCCTTCGGACGGCATATCAACTACCAACTTCCCACTGATTCTCTACACCGAATATTTTTTCCATGATCGCAGACACCTAGTGCCTAAGGATTAGAAGTAACCTTTTCGCTTGAACTCTTCACACTGAAGCATGCTCTACTTTACTGCTGCTTCCTAAGTACTGCAGTGCCATTATCCAGTTCATCTTATAGGTTTGTGGTTTATTGCTCTGAAAGTTTATCTTTCACGTCCTCGTTACATCGAGATTCTTATAACAAAACCTTTGTTTTTTAATTGTCCAGCTCATCAGGATAATAGGAATGAAAACGCCAACTTATTGGCTGGTGCGCAGAAAATCGCCAGGCTAAAACATTTAAAAAATCAATTCGAACAGACTTGCGGGAGGCAAAATTCAGAATTAACATGTTAAATATATACTATACCTTACGGCTGTGCGAATCATACCGATAGTTTGTAAATCAGCGTTGGTTGTCACCGTTCAATCTGTATGGTTAATGCACATCACTACGAAACGAAAAGCATTATAACATTTTTGAAATAACTTATTTTTGTGTAAACTCCGCGTAAAGCCAACGACATCCCTTTTCCAAAAGTTACTTCTAATATATTTTTGTCGGCCCTTACTCCTTCTGTGTGTATAAATGCTCAATGACGATTAAAACGTGCTCATGACTACTCCTTGTAATTTCCTCTGCAAGTAATGCGTATACTTGAAGTAAATCCTTTGGGAAAAAGTTTTTTCGGCTTGCTTCGGCTCAGTATGGGCGAAACAAGCACGTCTGGGCTTTCACCTAATATTTATGTTGCTAGTTTGGTATATGATGTATGTAGTATTACTGGAAGTTTATGTGGAACGAAAATAATTCGTTTCTTGTCGAACCAGAATCTCTTTTATGTTTTATTTGATCATCTCTGTGCAACGATTGTCTAAGTTTCAATCTATCATGAGTTCTCTATATCCAGGCTTTCACTCAAAGGACCTAATTACAACTATGGGTAAACTACTTCAATTCGCTTGCCCATGCGTTGGCTGCGAATGCAACTCGGAAAGTAGAGTAGGTGTAACGTTCCACGTAGTAGCCTTTCCTTTCTACCAATCTTATTAATGCGCATTATATCGCAACTCCACTGCTGAACCTGCATCACATATTCGGCGCCAGCTTAGACCACCCATTCACAGGGATGGTTTTCCGTCAAAATAACTAAACATGCAGAAGTTTTTGATTCTTTGCACAGGCCAAGATGACAGACATGTGTATTGCAATAAAACCGGTAGGTTGTTTTCGCAGTTCGCTCCATAAAGCATAACTTGGGGTCCGCGTTAATGGCGAACGCGTTAAAAATTTTCTTGATTTTTCAGCCTTTCCAAGGGCCAGTTAATGGGTTGTTCTTCTCCAAATGTCCGTAGATCACGATTTTAGTTTAAAGGAATATTTGGTATCTGCCCACATATCGTATGCATATTTTCCCATCTATTATTAGTTAGACCGGCAGCCTATAGCAAAACAGGGTCAGACCTCTCACAAATTCAGTACATCATAGGCCGTACTGCTTCGACGTTCCCCTACATGCATTTAGTCTGTCGTCTGAAACTCGCGTGCGCACAAGTTAGAGTGCCCTAAAATAAAAAAATCCGTTTTCCTCATGCATGTGGAACTAAGTT